AGGTGGACTCCAAGTGTGGGGAGCTGGACGACCTTCAGTACCTGGAGTGACCCTCGAACCGCCAATGGATATTTAGAAGTTACGCTTCAAGTTTCCAGCTCCAGCTACGCACTTGAGATCTTCATTAATATTGGAGCCATGAATTACTCTTTGCCTCTCTTTCCAAATTAACCATGCAGACAATGCAAAATTTTCAAATTCTGGAGTTGTCAGACTTTGTTTCATCCACAGGCATAAGTCCATAGAAGAGCCATTTTTTGCCTTTTTTTAACTAAAGGGTAAAAGTTATTATTTTTCCAAAGGTGCACCACCCGGGGACAGCAAAAAAAAAAAAAAAGAATGAAGTGTTGAATCGAGAGGAGAATTGCACAACTTACAGCCGCTAGACGAGGTGATATGATGTTTAGATAAATTTAAAGCCGAAGGAATAAAATCATTCGCACATAAGTTAGACAATGTCCACTTTTAATTTCATTGAAAAATATTTTTTTATAAACTAAGTCTATTTCTTATATGGCATGTAAACAGGCCTAAAACTTGGATGACGTAGACAAAAATATATATAAGTAACAAAATTAACTCTAATGCAAAGAGACTATGTTGGGTCTAAAATAGACTTAAGGGTAGACTGAATCCTTTTTTCTTGTAGTCAGAGCACCCACAATGCTTTGGGTCTCTTTTTGCATATGTGGCAAATAAATAGACTTAAGTCCATAATGACATGGACAAACCCAAGCTAAAAAATCCAAAATCTATCCAATACAAAACAAAAAAGTACAAGGTCTAGAATACTAAACAACCAATAAAAATATAATAATAATAAATGCATACAAAAAAAAAATATGTTTTGCCTATTAAAAAGAAAAAGAAAATTATGATCAGTTAATGACTATGTGGGTTTGCACTTGGGTCTAAAATAGACTCAAGTGTGGACTTAGTCTCTTTTTTCTAGTGCCACATAAGTTAGACTAGGTCCACTTTTAATTGCATTGTGAAATATTTTTTTATAGACTAGGTCTATTTCCTACATGGCATGTGATTTTTTTCTAAGATACCCAAAGCATTGTGGGTGCTGTCACCTAGAAGGACTCCGTTTACTTGCACTTGCATTGGAGTATATAATTTTTTTAGATAGTGTCTGTTTTCTACATTGCTTGTATATTTTTTTGAATGAACCCAAAGCATTATGGATGCTTTACGGTCAAAATAAAAATTCATATTGAAGTTCAAGAGCGTCAGAGAATTCTCTCGACGAGATTCAAGTATCCTGGAAGATCCAAAGGCGTTCTTGAAGATTCGAAGCAAGATTCAAGCACGTTAAAACTCAAGATTGATGTTTAATCCAAAAACAAGTTGTCAAGCCTTTGAATTGCATTATTAAAATCAAGATCGACATAGAGAAGGTCCAAAATCAACTTTGCGGCAAAGATCAAGAACTAGTGTTCTCCACGTTCTTGGGAAATTACGACGTCTGGTTTGAGTTCAAGTTGTCAAGTCCTCGACGAAACATTATTTGAATTACCGACGGAGATCAAACTGAAGATTCAACACCAAAAGTCTCAAATCTATTTGAAGATCATTCTTGAATAAATAAATCAAAGAAATAATAAAGATTTGTTATCCACTATATTTCATTTGATCCGTTTAAATTCAATTGTGAGAATTTATCGTGTTTATTAGTCCAAGAATATGAAATTTGTGATACAAAGACAACAATAA